GTTGGTTTAGTATAAAGACGAACACACAACCACACACTGTTGTGCATTAATCACACTCCAGTCTTCTGCTTCCAGTCTTTATTGGTGATGGGGGCACGCTTGCTTGTGTGTGTGCTGTTTGGTGGATGTTGCTCTGAACTGGAAAGGGCTGGTGGAGACTGGAAGTCTGATGTTACACATCACTGTCACTTTTGGTCTCCTCATCCCGGTCCTGAAACAACAATAACTGTGTCAGTAACTTCTTTGTGACCAGTAAAGACAAGTGCCATTTTGATGTTTTTTTACACATGCAGTTCTTCTTTGATGCTTTACTGGCTTAGTGGCATTTACACAGCTCAGCTTATTCATTTAACACAAACATTACTGATGCTAAATATTTGTTTATAGTGCCTTACAGTCATTTTATGATCTTTATGTTCATATACAGCTGAATAATGTTTGTGCAAAGATTTGCATACTAAAGCTGCATACTGGAATTCTGAATGTTAAAGAATTTTAACACAATGTTTAACACCAGCAACAGATCTTTTTGGTAGTCGAGCTTATCATAATGGCATGTATACGGAAAAGCTCCTCACCTTAAAGAAGGTTTCCACAAGATTGTCCAGCAAACAAGCTTGCGATCTGTACTTCTGCATGTGCTGGTCCATGGCGGCCATTAATTGCAGATGCCTTGTTATCAGTTCTATCTTCCTACAAATGTAAACAATAAAAACCTTATCTTATTATGATTCTATACTGATCCTACATTGACATGCTTGTTGTGGCCACATAAAAGTATTTCTGAAGCGGTCTCTCTCACCTTGCTGTGTTTGTTTTCACTAGAAGCATGTCTGAGAGTCTCCTTGTAGAGTTCCTCCTCTATCTCAGACTGACTCATCTCCAGGACTGTTGAAGTGAGAGAGATCCAAACAACAAATACAGAATGTGTAAATTCAAGAAGAGGCCATTTAAAAGATCACAAATTTGAGGTTTGCAACACTGTATTGATGGTTAATTTATACGCCTTCCACAAAACTGGAAGGCGTATAAATTAATAAATACATTAACTATCTGCTTTAAAGGCTTTGCTTCATAGACTGTTCTCACTTCTTATCATACTGGGTCCCGTAAAGAGCTTGTTAACTGATTCCAAAGATCTACACACACTGGAGATGGCTATATGAAAAAAAGCTTGCTGTAGAAGGAATATAAAACTGAAACTATGAAGTGGATCGAAGTGGACACTCGCAAAAAGACTTTTTCCAGGTTATTAGTGAAGGCTTAAGATACAATTTAAAAAGCATAAAGCTGAAAAATGTGGAGATGTTATATATTTTTTAAGTGTTCTGTTACACACTTTTACTATCTTCTCGGTGGACTGAATTTCACCCTTATTTGCATCTGGGGACTAAAATAAAAGCTTAGTTAGAACACAGAAACATTACACGTTTGATTATTCTCCATTGCAGGTGTTTTAACTCTGTGTACCTTCTGACTCTTGAAAGGCCTCTTTTTGCGGATGCTCAGCTGAAAGTTGTCCACTAACACTGCAATGAAGAGACTAGGAAGACAAAAAGTTAAGAACAAGTGATTAAATTAGATTAAGTTATCATTCACTGCCTAATGATAGGTCAAGGCAGTCAGGCTTGTGATGTAAACTTGAAAGACATTTTCCTGCCCATATGAGGGTCTTCGGTTCAACTGAGTGGTGGGATGAGTGGCAAAATGCCTTTAAGATGAAAGCACAAGTCCAGCTGCCTTCATGTACTTCTATTACACAATTCAAAGACTGTGAGAACGTTACAGACGTCAGCATGTATTGTACATGTGGTTCACAGAATGGAAACTGATTTAAAACTGTGAGGTCATTCCAGGTAACTTACTTGAGGAAAGTGAAAAGCTCCACCAACATGTAAAAAGCAAGGAAATAAATGATGTGAGGTGCTCCTGTTGGTTGTACAAAACAGGTCAAAATTCCAACTGGACAGAAAATCACAGTTACCAGAAAAGGTAAATACTCAGCTACTTTACATCTTTAAACAGACATCACTACGCATCTATCTCAGGTGGAACTATGCATCAGAACATGATAGCTGAATTTAATATGTCTGAATTTGGTAGTTTGGCTGAAATAATATTGTTTGGCTATTTCCAAAGTCACCTCCCCTTGCTGCTCCCTCAAAAAAGAATTAGTGCATTGGTTCTTTTATCTATATTTGCCTACTTTATTAATAAATAGTTCCTCCAGTCGCATTTGTATATTCAGTGAATTTCTTTTAAAAATTCGGAATCTTATCAAAATAATCTAATCGAACCACCGTAACATTCAACATTTAGTGAATCGTAATCCAATCAAATCGTTGTAAGGTCAAAGATTTAGCTAATATTGGCTAAATTCACAATTTTCAATGAAATCAATGACTTTCATGAGTTTGCCTTCACATGATATGTTGATGCCTAAAAAGAGATGACCCTTTACCGTTGTCTCTGCTGGTCATATAGATCAGGGACCAGTCATCCAGTGTAAGGATTTGAAAGAGGGTGAAGATGGTCCTGAATATGCTTCCAAAGTGTTCCGGGTCCGACTCATTAAACGTCTCCCAGAGTATGACAGCAAAAATAAACAGGAACAAGAACAGGAGGATGATGATGGAGCTCATGGACCGGAAAGACTGAAGGCAGGTTAAAAGGATGGCCTTGAGACTCTTGAAGAAGCTAGTAGAGAAAAAAGAGAGAGCCCTCGAGTTATTATTATACATTACAAAAAAAGTCCGGTCCATAAGATTGGTCTACCTTTACAAATATGAAAGCCAATAAGAGCAGTACATATGCAACACCATATTTATGTTCACTGGCTTAAAAAAAAAACGTGATGTTCACTCAGGACACAGTCCTTCTTTACAGGTATGGGGTTGTCACCTCTCTTCCTTTTGTTGTTTTGACTGCATAAAATTTAAAAATGAAAAGATGTTTAAGGTTCTTTGGGACTGGCCCAATCAGCTGAGTTTATAATCTGTGCTTTCAAACCTTAAAGTCCAAAACAAAAACTTGAAAAACAGCCAATACCATTCCTAGCTCCAAGCATACAAAGGCCTGTGATTTTATAGTGTTGCCACATATGATAGTCTGTTTGGCCCCATAGAGTCTTACTGCAGTTCCTTTAAGTCTCAGCAAGATCATTTCACATCATGACAACGGGTGTGTAGTTTTCCTCACCGGATCACTTTGAGCAAACGTAAAGCTCTGACTGCTCTGGCTCCTTTGAAAGTCTTGAGCACCCGGAAGAGAGAGGATGCCTGTCTACTGCTCAGGCCTCCTGTAGACTGCACCAGTGACAGCGTAAAGTCCACCAAACTCATGAGCATAATAAAAAAATCTGAGAGAAACAAGAAAAAGAACTATTAAATACGTTCTAGCATTCTAACGTATACAAATGAATGTAAACTTGCAGGAAGAGGCTGCCATCATAAGACCACGTTGACTATTCTCATCAGAGGTTAGTCAGCTCACCCAAATCATTCCAGGGGTTCCTGAAGTATGTATGCCCCCACAGCAGGATCTTAAATGCAACCTCCATCACATAGAAAGCCAGAAAACAGGTGTCCAGTGCTGAGAAACACCAACCTAGTACAAAAATAAAAAACAACAAGGAACAACCTTATTTACTCTCAGTGTAATAAGACAGGGATTACTTTATCATTAGTCCTGAGAGGGGTTACAAGTCATAATTGAGTCTTGGAGTTGGGCTCAATCAGGATTATGCATATAAGCATGTGTGTGTATCAGTATTAAGTTAGGTTGTGTATGTGTACATGTATGTCACAGATCCATGCTCTGATTCCTAAAGTCAAAGACAAAATGTGAGTAGACTGAGTGAAAATTAGTGCTGGAAAGTATATGACCGCACCTGCTCTCACAGTGACGCCCTGGAAGGTCTGGGCCATCAGCGTGCCCGTATCGATCAGCACCACCAGCATGATGAAGCGATCAAACATGGGCTTCTGGACGATGCTGAAGATGATGCGGTTCAGCTGCAGCGTCCACCCAACACTCGCTATCAGATCACCAGCCTTAAACTGCTTATGACCTTCTACAGTGAGACAGAGAGAGTGAGTATATGTACAGACCTTTGATTGTGTATGAGTTTCTGGAACAATGCCATGTACTGTCAGTTACCCTGTTCTTCAAGGCTGTCATGTTTGTTGGTGTAGTCAGTCTTTCGGCTCAGCTTACAGCAGGTATGAACAATATAACATACCAGGATGCTCTGAATGGTTATCACGGTCGTCTGGAAATACAGAGACAGTCTTAGAGGGTTTTGTCTGTGAGACTTTCGATTATTGTTACTGATTGTGTTAACTTTTATCCTGAATTTATAGCTCTCTTACTGAAAACAGAAATAGCAATGCCACATATTAGTGAAGCACCGATATGTAAGCATAATCCGTTATATAGTGTAAAATGTTTATAACTCTATAAATCCCTCACCAGCATGTAGAACAGCCCCCTCTCTGGATCTAGAGGAAATCCATGAACATGCAGCTCGAAACGTAAAGTGTGCTCACAGTATGTGCTGCTATCAGTTTCCCTAGACACACACACACACACACACACACACACACACACACACACCGATCTATAAATTGAATACTTGCTCCTCGTCACCACAAGTGGGCACACTACAGTCAGTTCAGACAGATGAGCGCGCAAGAGAGTTTGATTAATAAACAGGCATGTCTCGTTTGTCCATTATTCAGACTTTGAAATGAAATTAGGGTCAATAACATGAAAGATAAACTTCACACAACTGACCACATTAGAAACACAGGATCATATTCAGAGTTGGTCACTTCAGTCAGCCGCTTACAGGACATGCATACTTCCAAGTGTACAATGACCACTGAGCAAATCTCCCTAAAATGAACAGGCTCTAATGCTAATGACTCTCTCCAGGTCCTATAACACCTCTACAGTGAGACCTACATTACTCAGACAGGCTGTTTAAGGACTTGTTTCTAAATTTAAGCAAGACACAATGTTGGTCTTAAATATTCCTAAAGGAAAAATAAAGTTACAATCCCAAATAAGCAGACTTACTTGTTGGAGACCTCAATAATGAAGAAAAAATCTGGATCAAGCAGATTTCTAGGTGTCAAATCACCACAGGGAGAGTTCCTCTGACACAGCCATCTACACACACACACACAGCTGTGTGAGTTGATTTTTGTATAAAAACAGAAGAAGAAGCTCTTCCTGCAACTCTACTTACAAAGTCAAATAGATTTTCACCATCTCTCTCTCTTTCTCTCTTACACAAACACACACAGACGCTATGTTAATTTCTAATAAAAACAGCAGCGGGAGCTTTCACACAAAGCTGAAAACATCATGAGGCACTTCTTCTCCTTCTCTCACTCACACACACTATACACACCTGACCCTGTTGGAGGTGCCCCTCATGACTATGAAGCCCTCTTTAGTCAGAGGGAAAGAGTCTGGAATGTCTTCAAACATCCACACAAGAGTCTGCTGAGAGCTCTCACTGACACACAAACACATACGAAAGGATGACCATTAACTTCATATTACATACAGCAAAATTAATTCTTATATTTGCATACTTTTACAAAAACACATAATAGTAATTTCAAACATTGATTTAAAAGGAGACAGCAATATGAAGAGACAGACAGACATGTTCCTTTTTTCTTAATTACAATCTTATGTAAATAGCTACAGGAGCAACACAGTGATCTGAAGTATCACATTAAGTCCATCTGATGTCAATACCTGTAATTGAGGCTGTTAAACTTCAGAATTTCCTCTTGACTGTAATAACGTATGTTTTCTCTTGAATACGGTCCCCCACCAACTACTTTAAAAGTGTAGCTATTGAGTAAACAAACATGCACACCATGATTGAACATCAGAAGGAACCTTCTTTAAAAATACAGTGAAAACACAAATGTGACAAGAGAAACCATACACCACAGTGGTACGCAGACAATAAAAACTATTCGTTATATTAACAAATGTTCCAAAATATATGCATTACAGTGCATTTTACACCCTTATAACACATAAAAGTAGTAGAATGACAGATGAAATGTAGTGCTTACCTGCCAAGGAACCTGTCAGACTCTCCTAAGACAGTGTTCTCAATAACAAAGAAGGGGTAGAAAACTACAGATAGAGAGAGAGAGAGGGAGAGAGAGAGAGAGAGATGTTGAATATACTAGTTTTACAGTGTGGGAAACTATTATGAAGACACTAAAAGATCAGCTTAGCTAACTGATTAATCATGTTTCCAGCTACAAAGTAGTAGCTGATGAGCATGTAAAGGCAGCATCAGCTAGAGGTTATTTCACAAAGCAGGATATCTCAGTCAGCCACATCACTGAAGTCAAGAGTGAGGGCTGTCCAAAGGGAAGGGATGGTAAGGGACATTCGTCCTGGATAAACCTCAACTTTTGGCTTAAGCTGTGCCGCTTATGGAGAAATCCTCCTTTGCGAAATGCTCCCCAGCAGTCTGCAGTGAGAGTTGATTCTTACGGTGACTGTAGTAGAAGCAGGGCATGCCAGGTTCTGGGTTCGGGCAGTCAAAGTATTCATTATTTAGGTGTTTGCTCTACTCAAGCGTGGTTTTAAGGTCAAACGCCAACCTTTTGCCCAGCCTGGGCCAGTTCCCCACTCAGACTGTTGAAGACCACAGGAAACCGTCACGCCCACAACAGACAACAGCAGCACCAGCAGTGTCGCCTTCATGCCTGAAACACGCTAACGCTGAAACATTCAAAACGTTGGAATCAATAATTACAACATCAGTGTTTTCAAGAATAAAAACACAATTAAGCCAGTTTCATTTAATTTAGCAAGCAAATATATACAAACTTATTCTGATATTCTAATGTGTTGCAACTACCCAGGTTTAACATAATCTACAGGAAGTTGTAAAGCATTAAAATTAAAATGAAAACATTTAGATATAAATGATGAACAGAGTTATAGATGATTCTAAATTGATGGAGAGAGTCAGGACAGATAATGTTAGCTTAGTATAATATAACATGTTACTTTATCATAACAGTATAATATAACATAATGTACTACACTATAGTGCTATAACACTATAACATTAACGCACTATTAGCAGTTTCATGCTTCAAAAAAGCTAAAATATTGATCTTTCACTGCACTTGTAGAAATATGACCACTCAGGAATTTCAGATCAAAAGCTCTCTACAGTAGGACTATGCTATCAGAGGACAGGGCTTCACAATAGTATATGTTAATGTCCTAGTATAATCTAAAAATATAACAGAAACGAAAACACAGACTTACTTTGCTCTGCTTAAAGTTTTAGCTCAGCTATAGCTGCTTTTCTCGCATCCCTCAACGTTCGACTTTTTTACGAGGCGAAAGTCAAGCTTGTTATTCACCACCTTGTTCACATTTTCCTGTTCCACCTTATGTTGTGCCTGAGGTGCCAGCATAGATATAAATAGATGCGTTGTTGTCTGTTGTTCTCATAGACGTACATACCTAGATGCCGCGTTGCCTGTTCTCTATGTGAGGCGATACGTCTCTGCGTCGGCATGTTGGAGCGGTCAAGATCCGTTTGTGAACAAATTCACTTGTATTGAGAAATGATGAGTCTCAGGATGAAATCGGCCACAACTTCATTACTCAACCGATTTTGACCAAATTTGTTTTGTTGTAATCCTCATACACAGATAAATGCAACGACTGCTTTCGGTAGCTTTTATTTCTTTAATAACTGATCGTGCTAATTAGCCATCTGGACCAGTATTCAGTCTGCACCTGATGTGAGTTTAGCGTGAGCTCCGGTAAAAACACAATCAGCAAATCCATCAGTGTGTGAATCACTTCTAATACACAGAAGGACGAAGCTGAAGTTGGCTTCCTATCAGCCAGCCGCTTGTTCGAGTTTTCCCGTTCCACCTTAAATGGTGCAGCAGTCACTTTCTGGTGCCTGAAGCTGTCACCATTTAAGGTGGAACGGGAACTTTCGAACAAGAAGCTGGCAAATAAGAAGCTAACTTAAGGTTCGTGTAATAAGGTGCTAATCTATTACGAATGTCTACACAGATCAAGGAGTGCTATAACTATAAGCATTAAACATTATTGTAAACAAATAACTACTACATAAGTTAAAATCCCCTGAATAGCCTATTAAATGAAATAAGCTTAATATAAAACCAGAGGAAAAACAATCACATCAACAGGTTCCCTGTGCCTCACCAACCACACGGCCATATCTACACATAAACATCACACAAACATGAGTGTGGATCACCGCGTTCCCTCCGTTATATAATCCTATTCCACTTTCTGAGCGCAATATTCTTGAAATAGTATAATTTCGGACAGTATCTTTCTTAAACTGCCGCTCTGTAATGGTACTGAATGCAGCCCAGCAGCGATGTTGACCGCCCTAAAATAGCGGCGCCGTTGACGTGCCTGGCTGGACCCAACGCGGCATCTAGGTATGTATATCTATGGTTGTTCTCTAGATGACGAGTTCTCAGGATTTAATCGGCCACAATTTCCTTATTACTCAATCGATTTTCACCAAATAGATTTTCTTGTAATCCTCAGACATATATTAATCTAGGTTGCACGGACAGCTCTCGGAAGCTTTTAATTCTGTAATAACTGTGATGGTGCTAATTAGCCGTCCGGACCAGCAGGAAGATATTTAGTCTGCACCTGACAGTAAAAACGAGTTTATCGCGAGCTCCGGTACAAACATAATCTCACAATCAGCAAATCCATCAATGTGTGAATCACTTCGAATCTTAATACACATAAAAATAAAATAAACCCCCCAAAACACAGTAAAAAGGGCGAACCTGAAGTTGGCTTCCTATTCACCAGCTTCTTGTTCGAGTTTTCCCGTTCCACCTTAAATGGTGCAGCAGTTGTGATTAGCGAACATTAACAAGTGGGACAAGCAGTACTGACCTATTATTATTGTTTTATTAGCATTTTTATACTTTAATCATAAGACCACTAAAAAATCTAAATTTATATGTTAAAAATAGCAAGCAACAGTAATAGTAACAGGCAAATTAGGTTTGCAAAAAAACCTTGTTTGCCGTCCATTAAAACAGCATGAACGCTATGTTAACTGACAATCAGCGCCTCTACTGAGGCGGGCTGACTACACCCGTTTTGAGGCTGCCCGAGTGCGCCTGCGCTGCGGCGACGCGCGCGAGTCACCAACGTTTAACTGAGCGGGAACGGCGTTTAGAGCGGCTTTTGGAAACCTCGGAGGGCTTCAAAACGCGTTTGGTGAGTAATACTTGGTGTATTTCAATCGGACATTTACTTAATGTTATTTACTTACATTTACTTAATCCTATAATCTGATAATGTTGATCTCTTTATACAGTAAATCGAAAATTAGCGTCACTTGCTAAATTAGCCGGTGGTCTGCTATGGTGAACTAGCTGGGTTAGTTAGTTAACGCTAGTTAGTCACCTTGACTCTGTTTGCTCTCACAATGTACGAAATTATGAAGTCAGTTAAAAGGTAGTTTTTCTAATTACTATTTTAAAATTGGAACGACGTTGTCGAATTCATGTTCTAAATCTAGCTAATAAACTGTGAGTTCCTGTCTAAGTTAGCTCAAGTTTAGCTAACGTTAGCAGGCTGTCTAACAGCTCTGCTGGAAGACCGGTTCGATTCTGGCTAACTTGTGCTAAACTGTGACGAATTGAAGAATGACTCGGATTTGAGCGAGTGAAGTCGAGCGAATGGTGCTGGAGTGTCCGATAAGCAGAAACTAGTCAGATTTGGTGGTGTGTGGGGCTGTTAGCTTAGTTTGCTTGCTAGCAGGTAGCGCCTTCACAGCACGGACCAGGTTTTATGCTTAACTCAGACCAGATAAAGCAGAAATCTTTAGAGGGAGAGACGTCGAGTGACTTGTGCTGGAGTTAAAACTTAAAGGGGTACTCCACTGTTTTTCAAAAAGTCTGCATAATTCAGTGGTTGCGATGTTGACAGTCATTCACAGGGTTTTGGCGTGAAATGCCCTGCTATAGTGAAACTACCATCGAGGAAATGTTAGAAGTGGAACCAGACGTTTGTAGAATTCAGTGCCTCTGAAAACTCCCTCTTAGAAAGTTATTATATGAAATGGTTAGATGTATACTGTGTGATGCTTGAAACTTTGTTTTATGGTAGTTTTGTGATAAAATTTTAACTCTAATTCATTAATGCTGGAGGGGTACATGCAGGACAAAATAGTCTCAAAAGAAAATTCTTTTTTTCCCCAACTATATTTCCACCATCACCATTACACAAACACATGTAGGTTCACTGGTGGTTTTAGATAGTAAATAAAATGGCTATATTTGTGTTGTAGTCATGATGACCGCTGATTCCTATCACCGCCACTGTAAAGAAACTGTACATTTATTTACAATGAACCATTTTATATCAAACCACTCTGAATGACTCTGCAGCCACATGTTTACATTGTTTACATGTTTACATTGGACTAAATTATTCAAGAACTTTGAATCGGTAGAACTTTATCCTAACTGGATAAGAGTTATCCTAACTGAGCTGAGCTATAACTTGGTTACTTTCTGTCTGATAGTTTTACTTGCTTGAATTCGAATATCTAAAACAATTAACATTAGGTCAGTGTTCAGTTTTTGGAAATTCATTATCCATATTTTAAGCTACGGAAGCTCTTCTCACCAGGAGTGAGCAAAGTACAAAACTTCTGAACCTGAGTAAAAGTAGAAATTCTGAAAATACTTAGTATTTAAAATATTCTATTTGTTTTTTACTTGAGTTAAAGTACAAAAGTACTTGTTGTGAATTGGAAATCATAATGCACTATATATTAATTAAATTTTTTGCAAAAGTAAGTACACTTTTATAGAAGATTATGGTAAACTAAGAATTTTGTTATGTGATGAATTAATATGACCATGATGATTAATAAAGTAAACTGAACTAAGAAAGGGTAAAGTTCCATTTTGATTTCAGAGTGACTTTAAATGTATTTCATCAAATTATCATAAGTAAAAGTACTGAATTATTGCAGTTCTGTTTTAATGAATTCTTTCTGTTAAGGAAGCCTGTGTGACTGCAGGCATTAGAGTTAACTGTTCATGTCTGTAGCCACACAGGTCTCTTTATTGGAAAGTACTTCTTAATTTCTTTAATAACTTACAGTTCCTTTTACAAGTAATTCAAAAGCAAGCACAAATGGTGATCTAATTTTGGTCAAGTAATATTTTACCAAGAGCATTTCTACTTTTACTTAAGTACAGAAATTATGTACTTTGTCCACCCTGCTGCTGGCTTACAAGCAGAGGCTAGGAAACAAACCCTGTCTGCATAAACAGGTATTTCTCAGGTTTGGAAACAATGTGTTGGCTGGATTTGGGAGGCTTGTCTGCTTATACAAATGGAGTTAGTCAACATAAACATTGCTGTGTCTGTTATTGAATTTAGTATTTTAAACTTTGATTAAATGTCCTCTTCCTACAGTCATCCATCTGCTGCTTCTAGTTCTCGACTGTTAAGGACTTACAGCTTGTCCCAGGTACTTTTATTTATAGTAATGTTATAGTGTAGCTCTCTGTAATGTTAGTGTATGTTTCTTTACGTATTGCTGTTGTATAAATGCAATAGGACTTTGAATGTTAAGCGGCATTGTGAAAACCAGCACATTGTTATTTACAGAAACGCTCTCCTTCTTGTATGCCATTGCATCCACAACC